CAATATTACATATAAGTAAATATGTCATTATGTCAGAGAGAGAGAGAAAGAGAGAGAGAGAGAGAGAGAGAGAGAGAGAGAGAGAGAGAGTCAGAGAGAGAGAAACTGTTTCTTCACTCGCTGGACAGTCGTTTTAGCCGTACCTTGTGGATGTTAAAAATGAATCAATGAATTCGTTTACGTCTGTGTGATACATGTATGAAAGCGATCTATACACAATGAGAAAGCTTCTCATCTTGCATAGCCATAAGGATAAGAAGTGATTGTTATACATTTAAATGCAGGTTATGAAATTATAATTACCAATTGCTACTTTCGTAAACGTTTATTTATTTAATGCCAATTGTGTGAGATGAAAATTTGTACCTTTAGTTTCCTTCACAGCAAGTAGAAACTAAAGCTTATACATATAGGTATATCTACAAAGAATTTGAAATAGTGTAAATTTGGAATATAAAATAATGTATTTTATTATAATACATAATTACAATCGTTTCCTTTTGTGGAAAATTTAGTGACTCGACGAATTACGAATTAGTAATTAACAATAGGAATATAAATTTTGTTCAAATACAGCGAGATTCCTGCCGTCAGATAAGGATACTTTCACAACACGTTCTTGTAAACATAATAACAAAATTATTACGCCACGACGATACCTATAACATAAAAAAATTAAATAAAAAGTTGCTTAAGTTGTGTATATGTAATTTTACAACGTAACATGCCAAGGAAAAATTATCATGCAAATTTAGTTTATGTAAAATGATATTAGAAAATTTATCGAATAATTTTATTAGCAGTTTACGATTGCAGATTTTCGGAATTCTCTGTATTAACACTATCTACTATCGCTAGCGGATGAAATCGATACGTATTGCCGATCAATAACGTATTGTATGTTTTTCGAGCAAAATCGAGAGATCATATATTCTGATAAATAAATATTGAAATTATAAAAATAATAAAATGCCGATTAATATCTTTCACAATCGATAGTCAATTAAATGCTAGTAGCAAAAAGTCTATTAATAGGCTTTCAGCTGATAATACGTTAATATAAGAATTCCCTATACTTTTATCAATTTTGAATCGTTAAATTTTCCAATAAGCTCTACTTATTGTTAACGATCCCTATGCAATAAGCCGTGCAACTACACATATATAAAAGGATTTTAGGTGTCTGCGGACGTCGTTAAACGTGCGTCTCCAACAGGCAAATCTTACAGACGCGAGTTTATGCGTCCGGTGTTGAGCTAGAAATGATCATTTCGCCACGCGGATTTCGCGTTTGGTATTCGCGTGCGAGGTTACGCTCGCGAGGGGCTTATTTTACTTCGGCCGCGAAATCGGGATATCGTCCATTTCGTCATTGTGTACGTCCTTGAAATAAAGACTGGAAGCGCTTTTATCAATAATAGCCGTATGCATAGATCGCGAGCGGGCGCGAGGGTGGCTCTTCAAACTTCCATGCCTATGCCTTATCGCATGAAGTATGCAAGCGCTGCATAAAATTATACGGGATAACGAAGGTGGCCAAACGATGGCCATCGATGCGACGGAGATACACGCTATTGCGTTACGGCCTTAAACCGTAAAATACGAGCGCAGCCTCGTGAATAATTATGACTCGTATAATCTGGAATAGTTCTCGGTGCGGTGAAATAGCCAAAATAACCGGCGCAAAAGATACACTCTCCGTTTTATATTCTAAACGTATTGTAATTCAAGCGCTATATTTTCTCACAGTTTCCATCGAAACGAACTTTGTATCTTGAAAGGCCAGAAATAACTTGGAAACCTTAATTCCCGCGGAGCTAATTTTATTCTAAATATACGTGTATCATTTCGTATATATATATATTAATAAAAATATTAATAAAAAAGATATCTATTCGGTTTATCGCGGTTGGTAATGATCATACGACGATTTGTATCAGAGCTAAAAATATATAGGATGTATGTAATGTATGTATCGGGAAAGGTAACTTAGATACAATGATAAATTGATCGATTCGTACTTGAGATTAGACAGCCTTTGTGTAATGGTGTAAACAAGTTAAGACGACACGTGCGTCGACTTTAACGGCGTTATCATAATAATAATCGCAAATTTTCCTGCTGAAGGATAAAGCTCATTTGCAAGTCCCGATGAGTGCGACTTAAAAAAAACTTCATTATTTCTTGCGAAAATTTCGCGTTTCATTACCGCGCACGCGTATCGTTCCGCGGACGCTCGAGATAAACGGACGATCGTTTTTAACTACACGATACGTCAAGAGCCATTCGCTCCTCTTGGCCCGTGATGCTATTTCTCCGATTTCGCTCGGTGCGTGCGCGCATGGCGCGAAGAGGATTCCGCGCGGGCGGGCTCAAAAGCGGTAAAATAAGCGGTCATCGATTCGGCATTCGCCTTAAATACACACAGCCATCGCCGCGAAACATAACAACATATGCGCCGCGGACGTGTGCTAAAACACGGAAGACAAATAGCGGCGCGTGGGGGGGGAGTTTGCGCGCCCGTAAACAAAGTGCGCAAATCGCGAGCGACGCGACGCGACGTGACGGCGACGTCGGGGGGAGGGCGAGGACCCCGCGCGACGCCACCGGTCCCGATACGATTGCCTTCTATTATTCCTTATCTCTGTCGGGGAGACCCGCAAAGCGGGCGGTATCACGGCCGCGGCACGCGGGCATGAGAGATCAATGCGGTCGTCAAGAATCTCCGCTTCGCGACAGGGGAAAAAAAAGAAACAAGGACGTTGCAATAAAAGAAGTCACTGGTAGTTCGATAATAATAAAAAAAGGGGAGAGAAACGGTACTTCGTGTCTTTAGAATTCTATTTGATTTCGTTTAAACACGAATTAGAATCGTTCCCTAAACACGTTCTTTTAAAAAAAGAAATTGTGGAGTCAACTATACTGAATTTCGATCAATTTTCAACGTTTATTAAATGCTTCTTGGACATTACGTCGTTCGTTATTCGTACTGTTATCACATTATTTTTATCATTTTTATTGCGTCATTGTAACTCTATAATTAGAGAACGACCAGTTTTCTCTCCGAGATCTGTATTTTTCACCCGTATTTCGTCGCAGATTCTAGCTCCAGAATTCAGTTTTTCGGTAGACTCTACCATTGCATGCATCGATGCAACGCGATCATCATTCCGCGTGCGCGGCCGAATGTCGCGCGCGTCCTGCAACATCTGTTTACGTGTCCACCTGCCGCGACCATCTCCTCCACACGATTTTCTCGAAATCCCGATCGGATCCCGATCGACGATACCTCCGTAACACGTCATGTCGCTATCCAATCCTGCCCGTGGATTGCTCGATCGAAATCGGGGATCTAGTACGGTTTCGGAAAAAAAAAATTATCAATATTTTACTGCGTCAATCGGAAAATGCATCGCGCCCTATGCAGATATCAGAACAGTCCCGTTTCTTGTTGCGGGATTCCAGGTGCAATGAAACTATGCAAACTATCCGGTGAAGTTATAGGATATCGAAAGGAATAGCGCGCGGCGGATGAAATAGTTGTCTTTGAGCGGGAACGCCTCGGAGAAATTTAAGATTTCGCTATTGTATTTTTCAATGGAAATATCGATCGAGGTTATTGTTGTGAAAAAACTTTGGATTTCACTTAAATATGTATGCTATTTTGCGTTCCTACTTCATGCACGTACATACTTACATCATCACTGATACCATGTAAACGTCAATATTTCAGATATCTCGCAATAAAAGAGAAAAAAGAAAGGCACTGTCAGACGAATATTTACAGTTCTCGAGTTGATTTTTGATCCGAAACAAAAAGTGTACGTACACTCACATGATATCAGTTATACGAAAATAAATCACATCGAGAATCACAAATTATCTACATAAAAAATTATACCATTTCTAATTTACGCATTTACAAAGCAGACACACTCGCCTACACACCCACGCATTCTTTCTTTAAGAGCTACTAAATAAATTAAATAAAAATTATGCAAATCGGCAACGAAAGAGAAAAAGGAAAGGCACTGTCAGACGAAAATTTACAGTTCCCGAGTTGATTTCTGATCCGAAGCGAAACGTACGTATACAGCCCGTTCGCACGACCTCCATCGCGTTGCATCGCGCATCGTTGTTGATATGCCGTTACGGCTTCTTGCCCTCGCGAAAAATCGCATCGCCCGTCTCACGAGGAAGCGCGCCGACGAGGTGCCTAGGCAAGTTTATCTTAGAAAGTACTCAAACGTATCTATAGAATCCGTTGGCTAATAATAAGCCACGATAAAAACATTGCGAATAACGAATATCTCTCGAGATATTCCTGAGAGAATTGGCACCTGTCCCGATTTGTCTACAATAGTCAACAGTGAGTTGTACGCGAGACACGAAAAAAAAAAGGTTTTGCTGCAACAGCAAATCTATTTGTTAAATATAGGACAACTAACATTTTTTGCTGCGAGAGTTAATTAATTTTGCAATAATAGCAAAACATTTTGTCGCAATAGCCAACAGTTTTGCTGAACTTTGCTATTGCAGCAAAAGGTTTTGCTATTATTGCAAAATTAATTAGCTCTCGCAGCAAAAAATTTTATTGTCCGTATAGTAGAAAATCCTTTTTTTTCCGTGAAGGTTGAGAAATTTTCAAGCATCACTATTTCATGCTAAACGCGCCCGACAGGACAATTAGTACTCGAGATATTTCGATCAGAATCGCGATACGGCGGGGCAATGGAAGAGAAAACAGATAAGAAGGTAAAAAAATGTGTCATTTTTAGGTGAACAGCTGGGATTGTCGAGAAACGCTAAATACGGACTGTAATGAAAACAGTAGATATATCGTTGATATATCGTATTTGTTCAATTTTCCGAGGCGAAATAAGAGAATGCGAGATACCGCGAAATCCTCAGGTCGCAGTCGCACCAGTGTCGACGGCCGAGGATCGTTCGTGACGGGCGACACGCGCTGATGAGCCCGCGCCCGCGCGCGCGCATCCTCCTCCTCCTCTTCGCGGAATCGCGAGCGCGAACGCGTGTTGCTAGGAAATGAGATTGCGGAGAATTGCGAATGATGCAATTTGCATTTCGGATGTATCCGACGACGCAATCATCGGTGAACGATAGACCGTAGGTTCCGAGCGCCGGACATTCGTGGAGAATCAGGAGAATAGCCACGGAAAAAAAGCGGAAGATCGGCGCAGCACGATTTCTCGTGAGATTCCGCGACTCCAATGCTGATTGTGAGACGACCTAATCATTCCCGAGGTTGAAGACCAATTTTCGTGAATTAATCTTCAAAGATAAAGATATGTCAGGGGAGCATTGTGGGATCTAACAACAAGAAGCAGACTTTTTTCTTCTTTGAATTCGAGACTTAGCATTGACGATATAGCGTGTTTAGGAAAGGAACGAGTCACGAAAAATAATGACCTCCCGCGATATTTTTGCTTGGGGAAAATTCTCTTTGAGAACTCACAAGAAGAGGAATAATGTTACGTATGTTCATTTTCTGCCAATTCTAAGACACCCTGTATATATTTCTTTTTAGCTGCGCTCTGTACCATTTCCTGCAAACTTGATCCTTTTCTCTTTCTCTCACAAAGCTTGAACACGTACGGGTTTTTGTTTTGTGTACAAAAAAGCACCGCAGAATGCACTTAAAAAGAGTCATATCAAGCGTTGCAGACGTAAAGGAAACCGACGTTGACGAAGAAAGGGATGCGCTGCGAAAGAAAAGAAGACGGGAAAGGGGACAAGGAGGAGATACGATAAATCAACTCGGGGGAAAAAAAGTGATTACCCTCGATTAAGGAGAATTTAGTCGAAAATCTAATTATACGCTGTCTAAAGCCCGTATCGGACTACGGATTGGGATCGAGATTGGATTGGAAATTTGACCAAATCGGAGCAAAGTTCACTAAACTCGAGATCAGTTTTCTCCATTTTGATTGATTAAATTTCAATCCAATCTCAATCCCAATCCGTAGTCTGATACGGGCTTAACGCGTATGTGCACGCAACACCAAAGACCGAATGCAAATCCTCCGCGGCAAACATTTTCACATTTTAATTATTTATACGCTCTTACACGCGTTGAAGTGCACGCGCGGCAGTTCGCGATGTTCGACATGTGGCCGCGTGCATGCCAATAACTTTCCGCACATTTACAACTCATGAATGAAGTATAATAAAAATAGCAGTCGCGGAAACGGATTATATTTGCCGAGACGGATTATATTTTGCAATAATACGGCCATTCGTGTGTCGAGGCGTCGATCGCGCCTTGTGGTCTTCAGTCTACGCGTCTTTAGTCGAAGGCTGGCAAATATAGTCGCGAAACAATAAAGGAGGATTTGTCAGAGGCGCTTCTTCGGCAAAAACATACGTCTATTGTGTTAGCGCGTGTGCGCCGACACTGCACAGATTTCTTTCTACACAGTCGTGATACGGAGCGGTGTGAACGTGTTGTTGGTATACATGTATACAGACGCAACCATTATTATTCTTTCAAATATAGAGAAACGGATATTTAGTTAAGACGTAAATTATTTCTAGATTACCGAGAGGTACCGTTTACCACCGAGAAATTAATTTCAATCCGACGTACCGGCGGAGCAATTTATGAAAAACGGTGATAAATTATGCGTACAATATCCGACCCAATAAAGTCAAATATGTCCCCAGTAACAACGCGTTATCAACGTGTCCGAATTATCTAATCCAAACAGCAAGATAGGGAAGCAGTCCGCAATAAAAAAAAAAAAAACCACGATCCGTTACGCTATTCCCAGTGTTATTAACACATCAGGCGGAATTCGTAATCGTATAGGAATGCCGCGTAATTTCAGATTAAACAAGAGGAAAAAATGCTAAAGTGAATTGAATAAAACGAAAGAATTTGCACTCTCGCAAACACCCACGCGGTCATACACACATATGCGATGCACCACACAAGGCGCGCGTGCACAATGAATTATTCGATCCCTGCTGGAAGACAGCGAGGTGTACGTGTATAATGCTACGGAAACGCGGTTTCATTCACAGCTTCTTTAAGTACCTTATCGCGTTCTCGCCGAAAGCGAGCGGCCACGCGCGCATTCGTCCGCCCGCTTGTTTACGCGTCCACGGCCTACGTGCGCGCGTCTCCGCGCCTACCGTGTCGTCGCGACGACGAGGACGACGTCGTCATCGCGACGCCGAGGGAGCGATGTCCGAGGAACGCGCGCGCGAAGCGGAGTAAACGTCGCGGAGCAACGTCTGTCCGACGAGATTCGCAGCGTCGCGAGCAACAACGAGCTCATTGACATTCCGTTCGCACGCTCGAACGTCGTCGTCATAGTCGTCATTGCCGTCATCTTCGTCATCGTCGTCGTTGGGATTCGCTGCCGTGCGCCAGAGAGCGCGGAGAGATTTTTGCGCGTCGTCGTCGTCGTCGTCGCTGCTCGGACGCCGCCGGAGCGAAGAACAAAGAAGAGGATGGTAGCCAGGGCGCGGGGAAGGGGGGAGGCGTGCATTTAACAACGAGAACGCACCGCTGGCGACGTAGCCACCGCTGGCGACCGCGAAAGCGAGAGAGAAAGAGGGAGGGGGAGAGAGGGGGGCGAATGAGGGACAGAGAGAGAAAGAGAGAGAGAGGCGGAGTGTGCGAAAAAGAGAGAAGTGAAGAAAGAAAGACAGGCAGAAAGAAAGGAAGGAAGGACGGAAGGAAAGAGGAAAGACAGGACAAAGAACGGAGCTGGCTGGCTGGCTGGCTGACTGGCTGTCTGGTTGTCTAAGCTATAGCTGGGCCCGCTCGCACAATCGCCTTGGTTGGTCGATGAGAATATATGCGTAGCACGCATGAAAAAGACTCGGAGTAATGACAGCGTGTTGCCAGCCAGCCAGCCAGCCAACCAGTCAGGCAACCAGCCACAATAACGAGAGAATGCCCTGGCGCATGACGCCTTCACTGTCGTTGTCCTTGTCGTAGGTCGTAATCGTCGTCTTGGTCACGACGGGGACGCGAAACGGCGGCGACGAGGATGCCCGTGGTGGCCGCCGCGCTTCGCGGTGGCCAGGGGAGCGAATCAGCTGTTCGCCTCGGCAATGACAACATTGAACACGCACGACCCCCCCGGACTGTGTGGCAGCACTTCGACGCGCGTTTCCGCGGCCGCGTTACCACGGGCCGCGAGGGGCCCGAATAAACGTCGGATCGGCGTCGACTTACCTCGAGCCTGGTGCGCCCGGAGTGTATCATCCTTTTGCGTCGCGTTATTTTGCAAAACTTCCGGGAGTACCCGCACGGTGCAGTCGCGAAAAAAAAAAACCGTCGCGCGGCTGAGCGAGTCGCTACGCTTCGCGAGAGAAATGGCCGAGTCTACTGAATGCTCGACGTGCAGCCGCGAAGGGGGACGGAGGGGTACTGAACGGTGCGCCGCCACTTTCCGTCGGCGCCGCGGCCGCGCGCCACGCCGATTGGCCGGCGGCGGCCGACTTGACGACAGCGCGGCCAACCGGCGCGTTCGCAGCCATTGTTTACACGCTTCCCATTGGATCGTTATTTTTGTGGGAGTAGGACGTAGGACGACGACGACGACCGCCGACGGTGGCGGACGGACGACACGACGAATGTGCACTTTGTGTGCAACGGCGTAAGAGAGGCGCGACTCTCGCTCGCGCTCCGAAAACAAGAGAGAGACTGGAGCGCGCAGGCGCACGCGCGCGCAGGCCGCGCA